TTGAAAAATCACGATCAAAATTTGCACCCCTTTGGCACGTGAGATCTCTAAGGGCTCGAAACTTTTCAGCCCTTATCCATGCATATTAAACACACTAAGTTTCTATTATATATTTTGATATTTAACAAATAGAAATCATTTGACAATAGAAATCCTACGAGAACACGTATTAGTTAATTACACACGCATGTATGGATATATACGGTCGCGTGCGTGACTCGTTGATGGGGAGTGAGACATCCCCCTAAAAGCAAGACAATCAAGGAGCTTCGATATCCTAACGGAGAGGAGTTTCGGATACCTCAGGATAACGTTCGAGAGGGCTCCTAGTTAATATTAACATGGTGCTATAGAGGAAGCGCGTGTTACTCCTACGTAATTTCTAGCTAAACGTGCTAAAGGACGAGGGCATGCATATTTCAAGTGAGCTCCTGGAACACTATCGCGTTAACTTACTTACACGCGTTTAAGTTTACAAGCAATTATTCATTTTACACAATATTTCTTTTTTTTTTTTTTATATCCTATTATACTTAAATTAAATATTATTTTAAACACAAAATGAAATCTATTTATATTAATATTTATTATATAATATGTGTGTAATATTTTTTCACCAAAAAATTTGATACATCACCACGTCATATATCAGACCTAATATTGATAATAAATAATATTAAATAATATTAAAAACAATGGTATCAAATCTATTAGGAATAAAAATGTTCAATATATATAAGAATTAACGAACGTACGATTAAATCGTTTAATCCTAATCACAGATTATTTCGAGAAAGATTAAATTAAGTCGACTGTTAGGAAAATCATCTATGTTCGAACGAACTTTTTACCAATAATAAATAAATACAACAGATTTCTAAATTATGTTAATACTTTGGTACCGATCGATCGCATCCCGATTGCTTGTTGAACTTTAATAATCACCGATTAATCTTTCTTCGAAACGATAATACTTTCTATTGTTCAGTCTAGCTCGTTATACTCGACACACGTAATAGGGGCATTTTAGAAAATAAAAGTAAGAAAAAGAAAGAATAAATAAATAACTAAAAAAAAAAAAAAAAACAAAAATAGAAAAATACACACATATTAAAAAAGAAGGAAAAAATTCGTTCTACGATCACCTCGCATTCTCGAAGAGGAAAATGAATAACAAAAAAAAAAAAGAAAGAAAAATGAAAAGAGAAGAATAAAAAAAAGGGATGGAAAATGTTCTTCGTATTGTTTCTGTCTCTCTCTCTCTCTCTCTCTCTCTCTCTTTCTCTTTCTTTCTTTCTTTTTCTCTCGTAATGTTAAGACGTTACGGTTCGAGATTCTTTCGGGTATCCTGCTCTTACGGAAAAGTATATCCTTTATTTGTCCGAGTTGCAGCTGCAACAGCCGGTCGTAAGGAAGAATCGTATCCGTTACACGTATATACATACAGAGAAATAATACACACAACACGCAAATGTGTTGCTTTGCAACGACTACTGTTTTCTCTCTCTCTCTCTCTTTCTTTCTTTCTTCTGCTTTTGTAAAAGATAGAAAACATTATATCACTATTTTATTAGATTAGATATTCACAGCGGGAATGTGCACAGTAGAGAAAAAGAAAAAAATATGAGGAAACAAAAAGAAGAAGAAAAAGAAAAAAAAAGAAAAAAAAAATAAAAAAAGATAGATCGAGGATTGCTATGGGTGTTCTATGTTCCACCCCTACGTTGGTTTCTTGTTCGAGAAGAAAACAAACGCGAAGGTTAGGGAAAACATGAAAGTGAACAGGGAAGGGGAGGAAGAGTGGCGTTAAAGGAACTCTATCCTTGCACCTTTAATGCGTCCCATTGCACAAATAAAACGAACTGATACTACGTATCTCTTTCTTTGCTTCTTACAACTTGCATTACGATATTCCTTATAGAATTGGAGTAGTCCTCTATCTGTTTCTCTTTCTCTTTCTATTTCTTTCGTTTTATTTCTTTTTTAAGTTCTGTACTCTAACTTTACTATCGATGACATTTCGAAATACTTTATTTCTTTCTTACCTTCTAAGCTACTACCATTCGTTGTTCTTTTCGTTTCAAGTAAAGGCAAAGTTTGTCTACGTTGAATTATATATGTATGTATGTATGTATGTATGTATGGTTTGACGAGTAAGTTGTTAAAATCGAACAAGGGAAGGCAATTTTATTCTTTCTTTGTTAACTTTATACTTTTATTTTATTTTCCTTTTTTTTTTTTTCGTTAAAAGTACGAGAGATCCATTATTTTTTTTATGAAAAAAAGTTTCGAAACGGGATGATTTACTTAATAAAATAAAGAATTCTATATATTGTGTTAGGTTCTATTCATCTAACATGTCATCCCTAAGCTCCCATCTTCCTATTACTTATTAGATCATTATTATCATCGTCATCAATATAAATCTTGTTAACATTATAAATATTTAATAAAAATCGTACAATATGTCTATAATATATTGACACCGACACGGAATCGTCTCATTATGAATTATTATAATATCATCGTTGTTCCATTGAAGTTGAAAATAATAAAATTCAAATTCTGAAGAACGAAGCTTTTCAAATTTAGATGGTTCGAGGACCCACTTACGGAAACGATCATTTTTCGTGATCCATTGGAAAGTGCAATTATTGTCGAGAGTTTTGATTGATAAACAATTCCAAATGGATTTGATATATATATATATATATATATATATA